TTTACACAATTGATGTGTGTATGGATTGAGATAACAGTTGTATGAGCCCCTAATAAAATGTTAAAAAAGAAAAAGAAAAAAAGAAATGAGCAACTGCAAAAAAAAAAAAAATGAGCTGGTGTTTCTGAAGGATATGATAAAAACTAATGAAGTGTGAGAAATTCCTAGCAGGGGAAGGGTTTGGGTAAAGAAGAAGGGGTTTGTAGTGTTGATAGAGAATGATGTACCAAACAGAATGATGGTTCTGAGTTTAGAAGATGGTAACCGATTAGAAAGGCATGCATTTTATTTTAGTGACAACTTGCTTAAGTAGGGAATCTAAAGTAGTTACAGAATTGTTTACCCAGTTGTATTTATTACGTGGTACCCCACATGGTGTTACCGAATTCTACTTTTGAAGTAGCAAAGATGGGTTCAGATTTTCAGTTCTGCCTTCTTCACAAATGAAGATCAAGTGCAGTTTATCTTAAAATTTTCATATCTAAGATTTGAAAGAGAAGTGATTGGTGATTTTGGAATAGATAAGGAAATCTTTCTGTTGGAATTTGTGTAAAGAAAGAAAATGAAAATCTGAGCCCTATTACTATTTGTTTAGTTTTAGCCCAAATGCTATTTAGTGAAATGGCTAAATAAATATCTCTGCTTTTGGAGTTGAAAATTAATATTGATATTTCCCCCCCCCTCCAGAGGAAAGAATGCTACCTAGTGATGTGAAAAAACAGTTGCTTTCGGTCTCTGAAGAGATGATGGATCTGGCTAACCGTCTTCCTGACACTTTAAGAAAAATGGAAAATCCACAGAGGTTAACAATTACCTGTTTTTATCAATTTTGTTTGCTTTTATCGCCATTTTCCCATATTTAAAATATTGATGTTCATTAGGGTAGACACAAATTTGCTTGAATACACACACACGCACATTGAGATGGCTGTATAGATGAGAACGATTTTTCAATTGTGAAATACTACATCAAAAGGTTTAAAGTTCTTTCCTTTGCATTTTATGATGTGAAATATGAAATGAATATGAAATAGAGAGCTATCAGATATGAAATAAGAAATATAAATTATATATGTTAGTCTGGGTAGATGAGACAAACAAATCCAGGACACGTGTGTATAAGAAAAAGCTTTATATAAAAGAGACAATATCCCAGCCCAGTCTAGATCAAGTCCGTAAGTCTGATATTAGCCCATATGTCCAATACTAGTCCATAAATTCCTCTTTAGACTCACACAGCACCTGTAATGATACTGAATGTAGGAAGGTCACAGGCTAGTGGGTAGGTCTTGTGGCTCCAGCAGCAAAGTAAGGTCTCCATCAGCTCTCTTGAGTGTCTCAACAGCAGCAAAGGGAAGGTAGAGAGAGAGTGTGTTCCACCTGCAGGGAGGAAGACCAGAGTTCCCAGAATTGTCAGGAGAAGGACATGCCCACACAGAGGCCTCATTGGCTATGACCTGATTGACAGGCTAGACTCCACCCTTTTGCTCAAGTTGACAGGACATTATGTAACTGCTCCAATATAGGTATATTTTATTCTCAAAATATTAAAATACATAAATGCACACCAAAGAGTATTAGCATTCAAAACTGCCAGTTTATTTCAGTTTATAGTCATCTCTTAATGGCATTGATAGTTTGATCAGTTGAAATCAATAAATAAAAGCTGGCTTTATGCTTAGTAGCCTCATATTTATGCATCTGAGTAGGAATTCTAGACTGTTAGAAGAAAAGCATTCATTTTATGTCTGCTGTAGTTACAGCTCAGTGGACATAGTTTGGGAAAATTGAGAACAATCTTCTAAACAGATTAATATACTTGGATTATAGAGACTGCATGACTACCCTGGCTTTAATTGCTGAATGGCTTCCCTGCTAAAATATCTAAACTTTGGAACATTCTTGCACAGTGAATGATTACAATATGATAATTTTTTTGATGACAATAAAATTGGGGGGGCAATAAAGACTGTTGAAATGTGAAGCAGTTAGTTGGAATTGAAAGAATTCTGTCTCTGACAAAATGTAATGCTAATCTTTCTGAATGAGAATTGTCATAGATTCTGATTGCTAGATTTAAAAATAGTGTATTCAGCCTTTTTTTCAAAGTCTTTTTGTCTCCTCGTACTTTCATTTCCACACTTGATGTCCCAATGAGTGCATCCCACTCAGAGATGCTTTAGGATAGAAAAGAAATTGCTTCTTTGTTTTCCAAGATTCAAAATCTTTACCAAAGCTGAGGTAGTTAATTGTGCCAGCCTGGCCGATAATCACATGTGGGGCTAGTTGAAAGGCGGAGGGATAAACGGGTGGTGAGCCTCGCCTTTCTAGTTCTCGGGTCTCTTGCTTTGTGATGGTTGCACCGGGGTGCAGCTGCCTTAGCAGCTCCCTGCTTCAGCTTGCAAGATTGACTTCCTACAAGACA